GGTATTGGAGTCTCTGGGTACCTTGCCCAAACCCTTGGACCTCATCTTGACTCTGGCCTTCACGAATGGGGCCAATGTGGATAGTATATAGTATACGGAGTATCTTCGACTATACTCGATTTACATACGGGCCAGCAGGGCTTAGCAATTTGCCTGAAGGCTCCCTAAATCCCAATCCCAAATTCCCAAAAACCAACCGCCCTAACCCCAAAGCCGAGCAGGAGACGGCTGTCTGGTTTCATGACGTCCATTCCTGCGTTGGTTCGGTCACGGGCCTGAAACTCTAGCCGAGGTGCGCTGAGAGGGCGGCACGGAGAAGGCCTTGACTCGGGAATCTCAAGGTTGTAAAGCAGAAGCTCTACAAATTTGCGCTCTAACATCCCNNCCCCCCCCCCCCCCCCTCCCACCCCCGGCCGCCTCCACCCCTCCCTGTCCCCCTTCATCCCGTTCTCCAAGTAGTAAGGCACCACTTTTTCTGGCTTTGGGTTCAAGGACCTGTGTCTACAGCTTGATAGCTTCGAGCTACTTCTGGCGCCAGAGATCCAAGGGCCCCGAGACAAAAATCCAGGGGCACCTTCAGAATGAGCCTAGGGGTATTCTGGGTGCATTCAAAGATATTAAGGCTTGGGAATGTCTTCAGGCCCCGAGATTCAAAGAGACTCGGATGGGCCACGGCTTCAGCTCTACAGGCCTTTGGCACTCCCACGGTTCAGGGTTTGCAGGATCTATGTGTTTAGGGTGGATCTCGGCTAAATTCCCAAGCCCTATATCCAAGACAACCTTCTTGCTAGGTCTCATGGGCTAGGGTCGGGCTTAGGGCGTGGGGTTTTCATGGCACAGAAACAGTTCACTGCATTTCCCCTATTCGGGCTCCCCCATAAGATAACGGTTCTGCATGGCAGGTAAGCCCGATAGGAGCAGCATGACAACTACAAGCCGACAGCGAGGGCATATCCTACGTTTCAAGGATAGAACCGGTTAATCCGAAACATTGAAAGCCAACCTGGAATCCAGAAACACTGAACCCTCTAAGTCCAACATCCTGAACGCGCTTCGAAACGCCATAAACTGTGTTCCTGAGCAATCTCTACTATGCAAACTTGAAAAGGATGGTTGCCATGCAGCATCATGCAGCCGGAGCATTGCCGTGCAGAGGCTTCGGTGAAGGTCCTGTCTTTCGTTGGGCTGGGGCAAATTATTTCTTTTGCGAAATATGGGGAGCATAACTAATGATTTCGTTAGGGTTTGGGGGCATAATCTCATATAGGAACACAGCCACAAAAAGGCACCAAATGATGTGAGTAATGGTTCTGGCTTCTATGGGATTTCCTGCATACCCATCTTCGTTGGCATGCCGCTTGTCATGGGTGTGAGTACTTGCACGGCCTGGGCAGCGACGTCACCACTGTCATTACCACCAGCTGGACCACAAACAGCAACAGCATCACAAATGATGGTGGTGATCATCTTCATTAAACCCCAAAGCAATAACAAAGACACACCTCGACCAAGCCTGCTTGGATCCGGATTTGATCTTCCCGAACTCTGTCAGGACTTCCTGCGCGCAGGGTTGGAGTTTTGGAAGTACTCCCTTGTAGCAAGCATTGGGTTTGGGGTCGCGGCTGTGTACTCTGTTGTAGCACCCCGGCCCCCCCCCCCCCCCCCCCCCCCCCCCCCCCCCCCCCCCCCCCCCCCCCCCCCCCCCCCCCCCCC